GAGTACTCACCGAGCAATCGTACGATGCTCCCAAGTTCTACTGGGTATGCCTATAAATATATGTGTACATTTTCATAAATATTTCCCGCATAACACGTATGTACATATGCCTATAAATCTGTGTTCGTATGGAATAGAAGCTTAAGTCGAGAAGCTGGCTTTAGTATAATGCGACATTCCCTTTATTCTTTAAGCGACAAGGAATTTTTCGATGCAACTTAATAAGAATATTGACTTGCTAGTATCGGAACTATTTCTGCACATTTATTTGCCAAAAGTTCTTCAACGCCTCAGCGCCAGTGAGTCATTCGCAATCGTATGCTGCGAATGCCGCATTATACCAAAGCCTGCCTTTTAACATAAGCTACTGTTCCATACGAACACAGAAATATACATATGTGTACATTGTCATAAATGAAGGCGTTAGAATCAAAAGGATCAAAGTAGTTCTGAAATTTTTTTAAATGAATGTTACTCTTTGTCACCACATAAACACTATATTTAACTATACAAATATGGGTACAACTTATATTTTCAAACAATTTCACTTAGACCCTTATGATTCTAACCGCTTCAAATATTTCCCGCATAACATATATGTACGTATATTTGTTTATATTGTTTATATCTTTATATTTATATTTATTTTATTTTTAAGGTGTACCTTAATAGTCCCGCTCTAATATGTATTTTTGTTTGTTTACAAACTACTTTGTAAAACTTTATAAAAATCAAAACAAAAAAAAAATCAAAACTCCCAAGAACGGTCCTTAGTGTGTAACCTACTGACTTTGGTATAACACTGACTTTGGATCTTTCTATGTATCTATTAAATATTTGGATAGAGTACGAAATATAATCAAAACCAATGCTTAAGAAAATATTATTAAAATATTTCTGCGTAAAGGAATTCAAAAGTAGATACATAGTTGATTAAACCACTGCGACCAGCAGGTCTATTGTGCCCTCAGCTCATCACAACACTTCAACTAGCCCTAGAGACTCTAGAAATTTCAGAATAGATCCCGGGGGGTAGAGAGTATATGTGCTTCTCTCTTGGCCATAAATGCCATATGCTCCTCTACATGCGACGACCTCCAGAAGGAGGTGTGTAAGGAGATCTCCTTGGCAGCGTCACAAAAGTGACTAGATCAGATTCTTAAATTATACAAGTGACCTTTTAACCTATAATGGCCCGTAAAATACTTGCAATGATTCTAAGTTTATTCTTAGGGAGGACTGTGGGTATCCTTTATCTTTTCAGATTGTACCCTTCCATTAAGCTTTTGGATTGACGAAGTCCCATGGTATTACGCAATGTAGTTCCCTTAGCCCGGTGTTTTCCTTCCTGAGCGCTTTCTTTATTGCATTTGGAATTAAAACGGCTATTTCCCACTTTATATGGTTGTTGTTGTTGTTGTAAGCATGACGGTACCGTGATTGTGCTTCTCGGAAGGGCACAAAAGATGCCAATGGTATTGTATTTTTTGCTTCCCTGCCGAGAAGAACAATCGACTAATAAATTTTGTCACAATTTAAAGAGCACAATCATTTAATAATGTTTCATAAATATTTATTAATTGTTGTTAATAACACCCTCGTTTGGCAGCATCAGCAACAACATTTTTTATTTAAACATCGTCTACATTTATGTCACTTGGACCGCGCTTCTATTCTCTCGCCTTCTTTTTATGTGAAATTTGACCAAACCATGTAAACTGCTTTTGGTTTGCATACAATAAGTATGTAGTACTTCTAGGGAAAAAAGGGGAAAAATCGGTTAACCCACCTGTGCTTCTTTCGTCTCCCTGCTGACACCCAAAAGCGGTTGGCAGTCGCTTTCATTGTATTTGTATATCGCCACGCATGTCTGATATAAAACTTGGTTTTGATAAACCGCCCCTTAAATAAAAATCAAGTTATATTTCAATAGAGAAGACAAATAGCAATTATATTTTTATAAATTACCTGACAAATACATTGCGAGAAAAACCAAAAACACTGCGGGTTCCAAGATGAACCAGCGTCGTTTGGATGATGCGTTGATATCCGTATCAGCAGACTCTACAGGTACTCCCTCTTTGCTGGCTGTATCGTCACTTTGATTACTGCTATATGCGGTTTCGGTAGACGGTGTGCCGTCAATACTCCCCACACCGACCACGGCTGCATCTAGCACCTGAGTGGATGTGTCAGCATCTTCAGGGTCATACAAGCTCTCTTCGTCAGAATGCATCTTTTGTTTCGATTTTGTTAAAAGTAATATATTATAACGCGTTAAAGTTAGTAACTAATTTCGCACACTCGTCATCAAATGACTTCGATTAGTCACTGGTATTCGATTTTCTGTTTGTGCACTTGAACACCGTAATATTGCCCTTCTTTTTGGCGTTAATATATATTTAAACTTTGATGCACAGTGAATCGTGCCCAATTGCGCCTACACTTCGTCGATTTAAGTCAGACTTGTTATTGGCGAATCTTCGTAGTGGCGTTCTTGCCCCTTGTAAACGTGTACTTCGTCAATTGTTTTCGTTAGCGGGATTGAATGCCACCAAGGAATACAGA